TAAACTCTTATGTAACTCATGCAGATCTGGTTTCATGTTTATAACCTTTGTACAAGCAAGTTATTAGTCAAGTCAAAATGTTTTTTATTTGATTTTAATAATAATGCATCAGTTTTATACAGCGTTGCTCAAAGACGATACTCAGACATACAGTGCCTTGCGAAAGTATTCGGCCCCCTTGAACCTTTCAACATTTCGCCACGTTTCAGGCTTCAAACATAAAGATATAAAAAACTGAAAAGTGGGGCGTGCAATATTATTCGGCCCCCTTGCGCTAATACTTTGTAGCGCCACCTTTTGCTGCAATTACAGCTGCAAGTCGCTTGGGGTATGTCTCGATCAGTTTTGCACATCGAGAGACTGGAATTCTTGCCCATTCTTCCTTGCTAAACAGCTCGAGCTCAGTGAGGTTGGATGGAGAGCGTTTGTGAACAGCAGTCTTCAGCTCTTTCCACAGATTCTCGATTGGATTCAGGTCTGGACTTTGACTTGGCCATTCTAACACCTGGATACGTCTATTTGTGAACCATTCCATTGTAGATTTGGCTTTATGTTTTGGATCATTGTCCTGTTGGAAGATAAATCTCCGTCCCAGTCTCAGGTCTTTTGCAGACTCCAACAGGTTTTCTTCCAGATTGGTCCTGTATTTGGCTCCATCCATCTTCCCATCAATTTTAGCCATCTTCCTTGTCCCTGCTGAAGAAAAGCAGGCCCAAAGCATGATGCTGCCACCACCATGTTTGACAGTGGGGATGGTGTGTTCAGGGTGATGAGCTGTGTTGCTTTTACGCCAAACATATCATTTTGCATTGTGGCCAAAAAGTTCGATTTTGGTTTCATCTGACCAGAGCACCTTCTTCCACATGTTTGGTGTGTCTCCCAGGTGGCTTGTGGCAAACTTTAAACGAGACTTTTTATGGATATCTTTGAGAAAATGGCTTTCTTCTTGCCACTCTTGCATAAATTTCACTCTTTCACTCAAACAGTCATCTGTACCACAATCCAAATATTAATATAACCATTGATAGTAAAACCATTAATAAAGTTGAAGTTATAAAATTCTTAGGAATCCATATAGAATCCATATATCTACCTCTGTCTGAGGCGAGAGGTAGATCTCTCTTTCACAGCCATGATCTCAGGGCTGGCAGAAGTTACCCTACAGTAAACTCCAGCTGCAAACACTTACAACTACATATTAGGAATACATTAAATATTATTCTTATCATTACTATATAATTATTATTGGTAGCGGGGATGAGCATTCAGCAGCTTCGCCTGCCTAAGTGTCCTGTACTTCCTTGAAGTGTGGTGAAGATGTTATTATTTTTTATTCTTTATCTATTATTGTTATTGATTTAGGATTATTATCTTTATTGTCATTATTATTATTATGTATTCTGGGAGCACTATTTACTTTTTATTATTATTATTATTTATTTTTATTATAATTATTATTTATTTTTATTATAATTATTATTTATATTATATATATATATACACATTTTTATTTGTATTATGATTTTTTATTTTTATTATTATTATTTCTCCAAACAGGATATGATTGATAGACTGTATGATGACCAGTGTTGGGTAAGTTACTTTGAAAAAGTAATTAGTTACAGTTACTAGTTACTGCTCCCAAAAAGTAATTAAGTTACAAACTTAGTTACTGCACTATAAAAGTAACTAGTTACCAGTAAAAGTAACTATTGCGTTTCTTTTTCGTTTGTCGTGGTACCGAGTTTTAGCTGGTTGTAATTTAGGATAACTTCTAAGTAGATTAATTGTTTCAACAACGCCACCCTATTTTAGTATTAGTGTTATATGTTAGTTCAGGGAACTGTCACGCAGGCACACGGGTAATAATAAGACAGGCCAAGGTGTCATTTAAATTATATAGCATTTATTTTTATCCATTGATCAAAGAAAACACATTACAAAACTTGCAATTGAAAGAGACTATTTTAAAATAATTAGTTCCCACAGACACACACGAGCAGCCGTCACGCCTGACAGAAAAAAATCAGGGAAAATACAGTGCGCAGAGCCCGGAGCATGTGAACGGGGCAATCGTTTGCTGCCCGCGCAAAGCTTGCACTCCACGACAACGTTTTTATCTTTTTGACTGATGTAGTTGAAATAGTGTGCATATCTCCACCGGTAAAAAGAACTCTTCTCCTCTGACTCTGCCATGTTGCTTTACAAACAATCTCGCTCATGTGCGCAGCGTGACGTAAGCACGCAGGCACGCATGGAGCGGTAGTGCAGTTCTCCCCTGCTTTCCCGAGGCCGGTGCCGCCGGTAACGAAGTATTTAGGTAGTAACTGTAATATAATGAAACGTATTTTCATAATAACGCGTTACACTACTACGTTACTCAAATTGTAATTTCGTTACAGTAACGCGTTACTTAGTAACGCGTTACACCCAACACTGATGATGACTATATGATTGACTGTAGGTTTGTGACTGTGGTGGTGGTGGTGTGATGGACCCCTAATGTAAAAGCTTCTGCTTCTGGGAGTTCCATTTTCACAATGTAACACATGTACTTTTAGGGACTGTGTGAATTGTGAATAAACTAAACTAAAGGCCAGGTTTGTGCAGTGCACGACTGATTGTTGTCCTATGGACAGACTCTCCCACCTCAGCTGTAGCTATCTGCAGTTCCAGTGTGATCATGGGCCTCTTGGCTGCATCTCTGATCAGTCTTCTTGTTTGAGATGAAAGTTTGGAGGGACGGCCGGGTCTTGGTAGATTTGCAGTGGTCTGATACTCCTTCCATTTCAATATAATTGCTTGCACAGTGCTCCTTGAGATGTTTAAAGCTTGGGAAATCTTTTTGTATCCAAATCCGGCTTTAAACTTCTCCACAACAGTATCTCGGACCTGCCTGGTGTGTTCCTTTGTCTTCATGGTTCTCTTTGCGCTTTAAACAGAACCCTGAGACTATCAAAGAGCAGGTGCATTTATACGGAGACTTGATTACACACAGGTGCATTCTATTTATCATCATCAGTCATTTAGGACAACATTGGATCATTCAAAGATCCTCACTGAACTTCTGGACTGAGTTTGCTGCACTGAAAGTAAAGGGGCCAAATAATATTGCACGGCCCACTTTTCATTTTTTTATTTGTTAAAAAAGTTCAAATTATCCAATAAATTTGGTTCCACTTCACGATTGTGTCCCACTTGTTGTTGATTCATGACAAAAAATTAAAATTGTATATCTTTATGTTTGAAGCCTGAAATGTGGTGAAATGTTGAAAGGTTCAAGGGGGCCGAATACTTTCGCAAGGCACTGTATTCTTTCTCGCCAAACACTCTGGTGATAAACTACTACTGTAGCCACAGCTGCCCTGGGGCACACTGACAGAAGCAAGCCCCTCCCACAACCACTCACACACCAGGCTCATTCTAATGTTGTGGGAGGTGTCTTGCCTAAGGACACTTTTTTCGACTCTTTTTTGAGATCTCCCATCACAGTACAAACAAACGAGGCCCTGCGTAGCTTCAGAGGTCTGAGCAGATCTATCTGAAACCTGCAGGTGGCTCCACAATAGTGAAAATAAACTATTACTAATCAAATCAATATTGTATCTAATTTTCAATTATCAAGTATCTAGAAATCTTTTGTTTGTTTTATCATCTGTGTTTATCTGTAAATGTACCAGCACAATAACACAGCGCAATAACACGGCGCTATAACACGGCGCAATAACACGGCGCAATAACACGGCGCAATAACACGGCGCAATAACACGGCGCAATAACACGGCACAATAACACGGCACAATAACACAACGCAATAACACAGCGCTATAACACAACGCATTAACACTGCGCAATAACACGGCGCAATAACACGGCGCGATAACACGGCGCAATAACACGGCGCAAAAACGGCCCTATAACGTGGCGCTATAACACGGCGCAATAACAGCAGAATAAAAGTGCTTAAAAGAGCAGCTCCAGCACTTTAAAGCAGCTCGTGCCTGATGCTTCATGGACTGCTCTGGTTCCACTCAGACCCAGTCCTGAGGCAGTTTCTGCAGCCTCTGTGGGCCTCACCACACCCAGCCACATGACCTCATCCACGCAAATCGATAAACTCCCCCCCCCTCCCCCCCTCCTTCCCTGCCTCCCCCCCTCCCTGCCCTGTCCAGATGGGATTACGTAAAGCCAGTGTCAGTTTGCAGAAGGAGATGGACCTTCTCCCAGTATTTAGAAAAAAACTCTCACACCAGTTCTCAGGTCGTACTAGAAACCATGAAGAGACGGTGTATTTGCATTTAGGTAAACCTGCAGTTTCTGTGTTTACTCCTGATGGCCATTTATGGAAGAGAACTGCTCTGGAGTTCTAGTTTATTTTATGTAAGTGTCTCAAAAGTGAGCTGGTCCCACATGAGTCTGAAGCAAGAGTCTGATCCAAGGACCAAACTAACCTCAATGTAGTTGTTCTTTGGTCATTTTGAACATTAGATCTTAGGTCGCATGTTTTCAAAGATGTATATAAGAAAAAACTGAATTGTGAAACATGCCATTCATCATCATTTAACTGAAGGAAAACATGCAAAAGGTGGTAAATGAGTGATGTCGTTATCGTGGCTCCTACGACTTCACGATACAGCAACATTCACAATCATTAGGTCTAGGTCTGTTTCTGTAAATGTGTATGTCTGCAAAATAATAATAATAACAAATAATCCTTGTCCCTGAGGCTGCACAGTTTCTCTCCAATCGCTATTTTTTGGAATTGGAATTCGCAAATCACACTAAGGCTGGAATGACCGGACTCTGCTGCCCACGCAACACAAACTTCATGTACTTTCACAGTGTCATCCAGCCAACTTCACTCTACCTCTCTGTAAAGCTAGGAATCTATGGAATATTGACTTTTACTTTTAAGGTTGACAGTATCTGTATAATGTGTTGATCTGGCTGTGGTGTGAACATGTCATGATCCATTTTAAAGCTCAGAATCCAGTCAGAAATAGTTTACGATCCATGTGGTCGGATCCTGGACAAGTTTGATAAAGTAACTAAAATGTTTGGACACCCCTGGACCAACGAGAACCATCACTGGGGAAAAGGCCTCTTGATTTGAGTTTGTTTTTTAAGATTTCTCAGTGCAACAAGTATCTTTGGTCTTGCATTTTTGGCTCGTTCCAAATGAAACTTCTCAGGATGTTTATAATAAATTTATAAACTGAAATTGTGCTCAAGGATTTTGTTATAAACAATAAAAACGTCTACATTCAAGCGTTCCTAATGTAGTCTCTGCTTTAACAGTTGCACAATTGGAGTGAAATCTATAAACGTTTTCTGAAATATGTGAGAACTGTGTAACTATAACGTAATCGCTTCAGAGAATTATTGTTTTGTTGACGTTTTTTTACTCTGAACAAAATTAGGCTTTAAGAAAATGCTTCACAATCGCAGTGTTAGTCAGAAATAGAGCTGCAGCTATCGAATATTTTGGTAATCAATTATTCTATCAAATACACCGAGAAAATAAAATAAATTTCTTTGCCTAATTAAAAATATACAATATCAAATGAAAACCATTTAATAATGTTTTAAATTGTATACAGTTTATTGAATTCATATTATCAAATGAAGACAAGGCAGCGCCGATTGCACCTGTACCACGGTTGATTTTCAAGTTCTTCCAGATTGAACAGAATCAGATGAGGCAAATGTCTCTGAGCAGCATATCTAAAAGGCTCTCTGTCAGAACAGCTGCTGGTGCTGGTTCTGGTGCTGGTGCTGGTGCTGGGAGCAAGAACTGGTCCTAAACAGGCTGTGATGGTTTACTGAAAGACAGGGAAAAGCAGACGTTAAATGTCAATCAAACACCACTTCCAGATTCAATAAGTCCTATAACAAACACTGCGGACCTCACATGTCGTGCATCTCTGCAGTAATTATAATATGTAATATAGAACCACATGTGTGTAACTATATATACCTGCACTATACAATACTACACTACAGCATTTTATACTTGTTTTTCTATTAGAAGTAAGAGCTTTTATTTAGTTTTAGTATATTGTTATTGTTCACATCTCTTGTACCGTGTGCTCCTCACTCCTACAGTTCTGTAACTGCTGATGGATCTTGGTCCACAGTGTTCATACCATAGACTGTATATATTAATTATATATTGTTCATACAGACATATTATGTACGCAGTTCAAATAACTGTGGTGGAGTAGTATAAATGATACCCGTTGGCACTAGGATTGTAGTGAATGTCAAATTAAGTAAAACATTCATAATACACGTCTCATCATGTAAAGACATGTATTAGGGACTGATAAACCTTTCTGCTTCATCACTGCACTAACAAATAAAAGGCTAACTGTATGCGAAAGGCGGCTAACTACATTGATAGTACCATGCCGTTGGGATTGCTTGACTGTTCGTGGGAAAACCTCTCCATGTTATCATAATTACTAACATTTCACTTTCACAACGTGCGCTTTACACCATTACATGAAAGTTGACTTACCTCGTCTCGGTCTTCCCTCAATGCCCCTCTCAGCTGCGGCAGCATCAACCTGGTGTTATCATGAGATGCTAGCTCCACTTAGCAATGTGTGCTAACTACTCCTGTTTAGTGTTCAAAAAGAAGTGCTCCCACACTTTCGACGCGTCTTATTAACTCTCCAGTCTTTGCCAGTGCCTTCTCCATCGTCCTCCATTGATATAATAGATCAATGCATTGTCCGCGAAAAAGTTTTCCAAACACTAGTGATGCATGCGGACCATGCAGAGGTGCTGTGTAGAGCAGGGCACGTAAACATGTTGCGCAACACTAAAAGAATCCGCGAGAAAAGTCTATGGAGCAAACAAGGCAAAATGCCACAAATAAACTACCTTAGACGAATACTCGAGGCAGCTTAAATTCCTCGAATATTTTTAATATTCGAATTATTCAAGTAATTAGATTAATCGTTTCACCTCTAGTCAGAAATATCACTATCAGATATTTTGCCCATTGTCACACCTGCCAACCAAATATCCAGCATTTTTATAATATCTGAGAACTTTACAAAGCTTTCGATTCTCCAACACAGATCAGAGAACACAGGAAATGCAATGATAACAAACACATTAGTCCATGAGTCACATAGTTATACTTTTGTCTCTCTTGAACGTTTTGTCTCTAAATGACTTTGTTGTTGCTGTGTTCAGGTACGGACATCTCTGTGGGAGAAGAGGTGGCCATCAAGTTGGAATGTGTGAAGACGAAGCACCCCCAGCTCCACATAGAGAGCAAGATCTACAAGATGATGCAGGGCGGAGGTACAGATACTTACCCTAACCCTGTGGGAGAGACCCAGGGTCCAGCTGCAGAAACACACCCTTCCTTACCATTACACTCACAGACACACAAACAGTAGGCAGGAGTCGGAGAACGCACCTGAACACGGAGGATCACGGTTGGGTTCAGATGTAGCAGGAGGCGTGACGAGCGGTGGAGACTCGTAAAGCTGAGGTTAGCAAGTCTGTGCCTGTGGTCCTCTGAGCTCTGCTACGCATGTGCTGCAACTTTGTTTACAGGAATGAACACGGATCACAGTTTGATCCTTTCTGTGACCAACATATGTACACTGGGATTTTTGTCTCTTCAAATGTACTTTAGAAATACACAATGAGAACTAGGAAATCTCTCCTTGGCACACGACAGTCCTTGTAGTGTGTGAGCGATGTGTGTATGAGGCTGGTCCTAGAGGCTAGTCCTAGAGGCTGGTCCTAGAGGCTGGTTCTAGAGGCTAGTCCTAGAGGCTAGTCCTAGAGGCTGGTCCTAGAGGCTAGTCCTAGAGGCTAGTCCTAGAGGCTGGTCCTAGAGGCTGGTCCTAGAGGCTAGTCCTAGAGGCTAGTCCTAGAGGCTGGTCCTAGAGGCGGGTCCTAGAGGCTATTCCTAGAGGCTGGTCCTAGAGGCGGGTCCTAGAGGCTAGTCCTAGAGGCTAGTCCTAGAGGCTGGTCCTAGAGGCTGGTTCTAGAGGCTAGTCCTAGAGGCTAGTCCTAGAGGCTGGTTCTAGAGGCTAGTCCTAGAGGCTGGTCCTAGAGGCTGGTCCTAGAGGCTGGTCCTAGAGGCTGGTCCTAGAGGCTGGTCCTAGAGGCTGGTCCTAGAGGCTGGTCCTAGAGGCTGGTCCTAGAGGCTGGTCCTAGAGGCTAGTCCTAGAAACTAGTCCTAGAAACTAGTCCTAGAGGCTAGTCCTAGAGGCTAGTCCTAGAGGCTAGTCCTAGAGGCTAGTCCTAGAAACTAGTCCTAGAGGCTAGTCCTAGAGGCTGGTCCTAGAGGCTGGTCCTAGAGGCTGGTTCTAGAGGCTAGTCCTGGAGGCTGGTTCTAGAGGCTAGTCCTAGAGGCTAGTCCTAGAGGTTAGTCCTAGAGGCTAGTCCTAGAGGCTGGTCCTAGAGGCTGGTCCTAGAGGCTGGTCCTAGAGGCTGGTCCTAGAGGCTGGTCTGTGAGGCTGGTCAAAAGGAAAAGTTCAGGAGACTAGCACACTAAAAGCCTCACTAACCCCCAACCCTTGAGAAAGCTTGAGGGCCTTTGCTAACACAGGTGTCTGGGGACATTTCCGGGGTAGCTCTGAAGTCTGCAGCATCACTAATGGTCCACCACTATGAAGAAATCCAAATAGTCTAACTCATCCATGGGCTGGTCTTTCTACCTGTAATGGACCAAACATAAGGCAAGGACAACGGTTCAAATAATCTCTCATTTAATTCCCACAAATTTAGTATACCAAAAACCCCAAACCCTAATAAAGATTTGCGCCCAACTGAAGTGAAGGGGCTTAAATCTTAGGGTTAGTCTTGCCTTATGTTTAAATGACCTTACAGAAACCTGAAGCTCAGTCAGCCCCCAGACTGTCTCCCTCATGTGCTCAGTTTGGCCCCAGCTCCTCCTGATGCTGGGGGGGTCTGTGGCACTGGGCCTCACTCCACACTGGGCCTCACTCCACACTGGGCCTCACTCCACACTGGGCCTCACTCCACACTGGGCGTCACTCCACACTGGGCGTCACTCCACACTGGGCCTCACGCTACACTGGGCCTCACGCTACACTGGGCCTCACGCTACACTGGGCCTCACTCTACACTGGGCCTCACTCTACACTGGGCCTCACTCTACACTGGGCCTCACTCTACACTGGGCCTCACTCTACACTGGGCCTCACTCTACACTGGGCCTTACTCCACACTGGGCCTTACTCCACACTGCTCTGACTGAATATGGACTCATGGTTACACTGGGCCTCACTCCACACTGGGCCTCACTGCTCTGACTGAATATGGACTCATGGTTACACTGGGCCTCACTCCACACTGGGCCTCACTGCTCTGACTGAATATGGACTCATGGTTACACTGGGCCTCACTCTACACTGGGCCTCACTCCACACTGGGCCTTACTCCACACTGCTCTGACTGAATATGGACTCATGGTTACACTGGGCCTCACTCTACACTGGGCCTCACTCCACACTGGGCCTTACTCCACACTGCTCTGACTGAATATGGACTCATGGTTACACTGGGCCTCACTCTACACTGGGCCTCACTCCACACTGGGCCTCACTCTACACTGGGCCTCACTCTACACTGGGCCTCACTCCACACTGAGCCTTACTCCACACTGCTCTGACTGAATATGGACTCATGGTTACACTGGGCCTCACTCCACACTCCACTCGTGCCTCTGGGATAGTGACAAATACCTGCTCAATTAGAGCCGCCAAGAGTGGCACCAGGAGGAGGCAGGGTCCAGGACCTAGAGAGGGCTCAGTGCTGCTGAGTCTGGATTCATAAAGAACCTCCAGAACAGACTCGCAGTCCTTTTTCAGAGCAGAGCACCTCTCTGGTCTCTCTCTAGTCTCTCTCTGGTCTCTCTCTCTCTGGTCTTTCTCTGGTCTCTCTCTCTCTGGTCTCTCTCTCTCCGGTCTCTCTCTAGTCTCTCTCTCTGGTCTCTCTCTCTAGTCTCTCTCTGGTCTCTCTCTAGTCTCTCTCTCTGGTCTCTCTCTGGTCTCTCTCTGGTCTCTCTCTGGTCTCTCTCTGGTCTCTCTCTCTGGTCTCTCTCTCTGGTCTCTCTCTCTAGTCTCTCTCTGGTCTTTCTCTCTCTGGTCTTTCTCTGGTCTCTCTCTGGTCTCCCTCTCTGGTCTCTCTCTGGTCTCTCTCTGGTCTCTCTCTGGTCTCTCTCTGGTCTCTCTCTGGTCTCTCTCTGGTCTCTCTCTAGTCTCTCTCTCCGGTCTCTCTCCGGTCTCTCTCTAGTCTCTCTCTCTGGTCTCTCTCTCTAGTCTCTCTCTGGTCTCTCTCTAGTCTCTCTCTCTGGTCTCTCTCTGGTCTCTCTCTGGTCTCTCTCTGGTCTCTCTCTCTGGTCTCTCTCTAGTCTCTCTCTCTGGTCTCTCTCTCTGGTCTCTCTCTCTGGTCTCTCTCTCTCTGGTCTCTCTCTCTCTGGTCTCTCTCTCTCTGGTCTCTCTCTCTCTGGTCTTTCTCTCTCTGGTCTCTCTCTTTCTGGTCTCTCTCTCCGGTCTCTCTTTAGTCTCTCTCTGGTCTCTTGCTGGTCTCTCTCTCTGGTCTCTCTCTCTGGTCTCTCTCTGGTCTCTCTCTAGTCTCTCTCTCCGGTCTCTCTCTGGTCTCTCTCTAGTCTCTCTCTCTGGTCTCTCTCTGGTCTCTCTCTCTGGTCTCTCTCTCTGGTCTCTCTCTCTGGTCTCTCTCTGGTCTCTCTCTAGTCTCTCTCTCTGGTCTCTCTCTGGTCTCTCTCTGGTCTCTCTCTAGTCTCTCTCTCTGGTCTCTCTCTAGTCTCTCTCTCTGGTCTCTCTCTGGTCTCTCTCTGGTCTCTCTCTCTGGTCTCTCTCTCTGGTCTCTCTCTCTGGTCTCTCTCTGGTCTCTCTAGTCTCTCTCTCTGGTCTCTCTCTGGTCTCTCTCTGGTCTCTCTCTAGTCTCTCTCTCTGGTCTCTCTCTAGTCTCTCTCTGGTCTCTCTCTCTGGTCTTCCTTCTTTGACTGTGATGTTGCTGAACCAGTCTGTCACAGAACCAACATGCAAACTTTTACTGCTACAGCGCTGAAAGTGAAAACACTCGTATGATTCCGGCCTGAACAGTTCCATGCTGTGCTCCCGTCAGAATGACTGCTCCCCTCAGAATGGCTGTGTGTGTGTGTGTGTGTGTGTGTGTGTGTGTGTGTGTGTGTGTGTGTGTGTGTGTGTGTGTGTGTGTGTGTGTGTGTGTGTGTGTGTGTGTGTGTGTGTGTGTGTGTGTGTGTGTGTGTGTGTGTGTGTGTGTGTGTGTGTGTGTGTGTGTGTATAAATAGTGGTGCTGTCGCTGCAGTTTGAGCCTGTGGAAGGACACAGCAGATGGCCCAGAGAGAGTCTGCTGCACGACCATGTGTCCAGTGCTAATCCAGCTCATTATACAATCAATACTGAGCCCCACAATGCACCTCTGCTGGTGTCACGGCAGCTCCTGTGTGACGCACCTCTCAGGAGATTATGGGGTTTAGACCCGTCACAGTTAGAGACATAACTTCAAACACAGAGTGAGGGACATGTAGTCAAACTTCTTCATTGTGCAGAAAGTAGAGCTGGGAACTGTGTCTGGATATTTGAGCCACAATTTCATATTTTTGTGATTCTGTGATATACTGCGATTCACAAAGGGCTGTCGTTTGTTGAAACTTAGAGAGTTCTGTAATAACTTAGTGTGTTAAGCCTAGCGTACATCGACAGAGAAACTGGGGACAACTAGTTGCAAGGCGGCTTTTGGCAACTGAGAGGAGATGGTGGGAGATGATCAGTTGCCGAAATCGGTCGATGTGCGCGCTCTTACAACTGGAGATGAACAGTCGGTCTCCAGTTTCAGTCAGTTGCCCGTGTTCTACTTTTCAGCAACTAGTTGTCCTCAGTTTCGGAGATATGACCCGATGTGCGCGCTCCATGCGCCGCTCCGACAACGTGTGTGTATTGCGTGTGTTGCGAGCCCGCAACAGTTTATGTCAGAAAACGCACTGTAGTTGAGGCCAGTTGCTGTCGATGTACGCGCTGTTATTCCCGAGACTGGTCTGCTACTGGGAGTTGCCCGTTTTCGTCAGATTGTCGATGTGTGCGGGGCAGCAACTCATATGCGACGGATATAATCAGTTGCCAGTCCGATGTACGCTAGGCTTAACAGGGAGGCCAGAATTATAATGTTATTATTATTATGTTTCCGATCAATACATTGTTGTTTAGAGCTTTAATAAGTGACTCTTTTTTTAAAACTCTTTAATGGTTTAAAACATTTGTTGCTGTCTATTTGTGGCTATAGCTTTTGGTAAATGTTAGTTTTATGCAATGGTAAAGTATGTTTGAAAAAGAGCTTAAAGGATCACACACATCTGTCACCGCAGCCCTCACAGGAAGTGGTTTGTTTGGGGAAGAACATTCAGAGGAAAGTCAGTGGCTTCATGAAGACTTTGGTTTAGTTTAAAACAGTTTTAACACTTTAGACTCAAAATATCCTTCAAGAAGATGCGAGGGATCAGAAAACAGGCTTTGCACCACAGAGTCTAGACAAGGTCTGAAATGGAGCTAAAACTGGTCTTAACATTGACTACACTATTGGATATTAGTAATTTAAAACATGTGTGCGTGACCACCAACAAAACCCAGTGGATTAACTCATCTGCTACATTTTGGCCTTTGATCCTGAATGTCGTGGGACCGACTGTGGGACGAATGAATGAATGATATTAGGCTGCAATTCAGATCAATGCAGCTAAAATTCTGTCTTCTTGAAAATGTGAGACAGGCTTCTTCCCTGACAATGTTCAAATCCAGGTTAAAAACAGATCTTAAGGATTTTAGACAGATACTTTATTGATCCCTGTCGGAGAAACACATCCACCCAAACAAACTCATAAATACAGAATTCTAAAAGTTACTCACAAAGCACAGCTAAACTTGGCGTAGTTTTCCGTGTGATTGACCTGTTGTCGTCCTGCGCAGTGGGAATCCCGACGATAAAGTGGTGCGGCGCCGAAGGAGACTACAACGTGATGGTGATGGAGCTGCTGGGGCCCAGTCTGGAGGACCTCTTCAACTTCTGCTCCAGGAAGTTCAGCCTCAAGACGGTGCTGCTGCTGGCGGATCAGATGGTACGTACTGGACCAGCATCACATGGACCGGGTCTGGGTCCTGGGTCTACAGCCTCGGTCCTGGGTCTACAGCCTCGGTCCTGGGTCTACAGCCTCGGTCCTGGGTCTACTGCCTCGGTCCTGGGTCTACAGCCTCGGTCCTGGGTCTACAGCCTCGGTCCTGGGTCTACAGCCTCTGTCCTGGGTCTACATCCTTGGTCCTGGGTCTACAGCCTCAGTTCTGGGTCTGCAGCCTCAGTCCTGGGTCTACAGCCTCAGTCCTGGATCCCTAAGAGATCCTAATTATCGTCCTCCATCTTTGGCCCCAGCTCTGACTCTGGCTCTGACTCTGGCCCCTACTCCAACTCTGGCCCCTGCTCTGACCCTGGAACTTGCTCTGACTCCGGCACTTGCTCTGACTCCGGCACTTGCTCTGACTCCGGCCCCTGCTCTGACTCCGGCCCCTGCTCTGACTCCGGCCCCTGCTCTGACTCCGGCCCCTGCTCTGACTCCGGCCCCTGCTCTGACTCCGGCCCCTGCTCTGACTCCGGCCCCTGCTCTGACTCCGGCCCCTGCTCTGACTCCGGCCCCTGCTCTGACTCCGGCCCCTGCTCTGACTCTGGCCCCAGCTCTGGCTCTGACTCTGGCCCCAGCTCTGGCTCTGACTCTGGCCCCGACTCTGGCCCCAGCTCTGACTCTGACTCTGGCCCCTGCTCTGACTCTGGCCCCTGCTTTGACTCTGGCCCCAGCTCTGACTCTGGCCCCAGCTCTGACTCTGGCCCCTGCTCTGACTCTGGCCCCAGCTCTGACTCTGGCCCCTGCTTTCACTCTGGCCCCTGCTTTGACTCTGGCCCCTGCTCTGACTCTGGCCCCAGCTCTGACTCTGGCCCCAGCTCTGACTCTGGCCCCAGCTCTGACTCTGGCCCCAGCTCTGACTCTGACTCTGGCCCCTGCTCTGACTCTGGCCCCAGCTCTGACTCTGGCCCCTGCTCTGACTCTGGCCCCTGCTCTGACTCTGGCCCCAGCTCTGACTCTGGCCCCAGCTCTGACTCTGACTCTGGCCCCTGCTCTGACTCTGGCCCCTGCTTTGACTCTGGCCCCTGCTCTGACTCTGGCCCCTGCTCTGACTCTGGCCCCAGCTCTGACTCTGGCCCCTGCTCTGACTCTGGCCCCTGCTCTGACTCTGGCCCCAGCTCTGACTCTGGCCCCAGCTCTGACTCTGGCCCCAGCTCTGACTCTGGCCCCTGCTCTGACTCTGGCCCCAGCTCTGACTCTGGCCCAGGCTCTGACTCTGGCCCCAGCTCTGACTCTGACTCTGGCCCCTGCTCTGACTCTGGCCCCAGCTCTGACTCTGGCCCCAGCTCTGACTCTGGCCCCAGCTCTGACTCTGACTCTGGCCCCTGCTCTGACTCTGGCCCCTGTATCTGCAGATCAGCCGCATCGAGTACATCCACTCCAAGAACTTCATCCACAGAGACGTGAAGCCTGATAACTTCCTGATGGGACTGGGAAAGAAGGGGAACCTGGTCTACATCATCGACTTCGGTCTGGCCAAGAAGTACAGAGACGCCCGCACACACCAGCACATCCCCTACCGCGAGAACAAGAACCTCACCGGGACCGCACGCTACGCCTCCATCAACACACATCTGGGCATCGGTAAGAGAGGGAGGGAGGGGGGGGGGGGGGAGGGAGGGAGGGAGGGAGGGAGAGAGAGAGAGAGGGAGGGAGAGGGAGGGAGAGAGAGGGAGGGAGGGAGGGAGAGGGAGAGAGGGGGAGGGAGAGAGAGGGAGGGAGGGAGGGAGGGAGAGAGAGGGAGGGAGAGGGAGAGAGAGGGAGAGGAGGGGAGGGAGAGAGAGAGAGAGGGAGGGAGGGAGGGAGAGAGAGGGAGGGAGGGAGAGGGAGGGAGGGGGGAGGGAGGGGGGAGAGAGAGGAGGAGGGAGGGGGAGGGAGAGAGGGAGGGAGGGAGGGGGGAGAGAGAGAGAGGAGGGAGGGAGGGAGGGAGAGAGAGGGAGGGAGAGAGGAGAGAGAGGGAGGGAGGGAGGGAGGAGAGAGGGAGGGAGGGAGAGGGAGGGAGGGGGGGGGGGAGGGAGGAGGAGAGGGAGAGGGAGGGAGGGAGGAGGGAGAGAGAGGGAGGGAGGGGGGGAGAGAGAGGGAGGGAGGGGGGAGGGGGAGGGAGAGAGGGGGAGGGAGAGAGAGGGAGGGAGGGAGAGAGGGAGGGGGGAGGGAGGGGAGGGGAGAGAGAGGGAGGGAGGGGGAGGGAGAGAGAGGGAGGGAGGGGAGGAGAGAGAGGGAGGGAGGGAGGGAGAGAGAGGGAGGGAGGGGGGAGGGGGAGGGGGGGGAGGGAGAGAGAGGGAGGGAGGGGGAGGGAGAGAGAGGGAGAGAGGGGGAGGGAGAGAGAGGGAGGGAGGGGAGGGAGAGAGGGGGGGGGGGGAGGGAGAGAGGGGGAGGGAGGGGAGGGAGAGAGAGGGAGGGAGGGGGAGGGAGGGGGAGGGAGAGAGAGGGAGGGAGGGAGAGGGAGGTTTTAGGGTTAGAGAGATAGACGCTCTTCTCACAGTGTGTACTCTCTCCTCACAGTGTGTACTCTCTCCTCAGTGTGTACTCTCTCCTCACAGAGCAGTCGCGGCGAGACGACCTGGAGTCTCTGGGCTACGTCCTCATGTACTTTAACCTGGGCTCTCTGCCGTGGCAGGGCCTGAAGGCCGCCACCAAGAGGCAGAAGTACGAACGCATCAGCGAGAAGAAGATGTCCACGCCCATCGAGGTGCTGTGTAAAGGCTACCCCTGTAAGTACGCAGCACTTTACCTGTAAGTACGCAGCACTTTACCTGTAAGTACGCAGCACTTTACCTGTAAGTACGCAGCACTTTACCTGTAAGTACGCAGCACTTTACCTGTAAGTATGCAGCACTTTACCTCAGAGAGAGACGTCTGTCTCTGCACTGAACCTGCTCTGTACTGAGCTCTATGTTCTGCTCTGTACTGAGCTCTATGCTCTGCTCTGTACTGAGCTCTATGTTCTGCTCTGTACTGAGCTCTATGTTCTGCTCTGTACTGAGCTCTATGGTCTGCTCTGTACTGAGCTCTATGTTCTGCTCTGTACTGAGCTCTATGTTCTGCTCTGTACTGAGCTCTATGGTCTGCTCTGTACTGAGCTCTATGTTCTGCTCTGTACTGAGCTCTATGTTCTGCTCTGTACTGAGCTCTATATTCTGCTCTGTGCTGAGGTCTATGTTCTGCTCTGTACTGAGCTCTATGGTCTGCTCTGTACTGAGCTCTATGTTCTGCTCTGTACTGAGCTCTATGTTCTGCTCTGTACTGAGCTCTATGTTCTGCTCTGTACTGAGCTCTATGATCTGCTCTGTACTGAGCTCTATGATCTGCTCTGTACTGAGCTCTATGTTCTGCTCTGTACTGAGCTCTATGTTCTGCTCCACAGCTGAGTTTGCTACGTACCTGAACTTCTGCCGCTCTCTTCGTTTCGATGATAAACCCGACTACTCGTACTTGCGCCAGCTCTTCAGGAACCTCTTCCACCGACAGGGATTCTCCTACGACTACGTCTTCGACTGGAACATGCTCAAATTTGTAAGTGTGCTGTGAGCAGGAGGGGGAGGGGCTAAACCAGGGGGGGTCAAGCCGCTTCCAGACCGGGCATGTGTGGCTGCAGGTTTTAGTTCCAACCGGAGCAGGAGCAAATCAGACTCCACCCATTTCCTCCACAGTGTAGAGTCCATTATCATTGAAAATACACAGGAGGCATTAAGCAGCAGTGGAGCAGTTAGCACAAAAATTCTGCTATGAAGGGATCCTGGCTCTTATGATTACAAGTGCTAACATGTGTTTGATTTTCTGGGTGCTAACATGTGTTGTACATGCTAATGATGCTAACGTGTGTGTGATTGGCAGGGTGCTAACAGAGCTGTGGAGGACGCAGAGCGCGAGCGCCGGGAGAGGGAGGAGCGTCTTAGGCACGGCAGGAACCCCGCGGCCAGGGGTATGGCCTCAGCCTCAGGGAGAGCCAGAGGAGCTCCGGACGTGGCTGCTCCATCCCCCCTCAACCCCTCCTCTCACACAGGTACGTGGAGCGCACAAGCCCCGGTGATCCAAGATGGCGCCGTATTCAAATGAATGGTTTGTGCTCAGTGGCGCATGTGCCGGCACGGGCGTGAGGGATTAGTGAAACTCGTCCATATTTTGGCATCCTCTGGTCCTCCCGGTTCTGCGCAGTGGATGAGCTCCCATGATGCTTTGTGCCAAATACGCGTGTGTGGACCTCTTTGACCAATCAGAGCTGATCAGAGCAGCAGCAGAGCAAGTCAGAGCGGGAAGGACAGGAGCAGAGTTTGTGGCAGTAAAGTGTGGATTTAAAGAAAACAGAAGGATTTAAGAAGAAAAAAAGTTCAGGACGACAAGGGACACTAACATACCCACAAAATCCGATATTTCTGAAAGCTGTAGGTTCTCTGTCAGGTTCTCTGTCAGCTGAGGTTGTGCTGTTTTAGTTTACATTGAGTTCTATGGGACTTTTTTTCTGTAGCCCACGTTAAATTAGTCTGCAGTACCACAGCGCCCCCTGTGGCCATAGATGTTACAGTTGTAAGCTAGTAATACTCTATCCAGTTATTATTATAGATCAGTGAATCTGAAACAGTCTGTGGTGGTTGTACTGTACTTTTATCATTGCTTCAGGGCACAATCCACGTCTAATACTGTCTGTCTGTCTGTGTGTGTGTGTGTGTGTCTGTGTGTGTGTGTGTGTGTGTGTCTGTGTGTGTGTGTCTGTGTGTGTGTGTGTGTGTGTTGTAGGGATGGAGAAAGAGCGCAAAGTGAGCATGCGCCTGCACAGAGGAGCTCCAGTGAACATCTCCTCCTCAGACCTGACCGGACGCCAGGATACGTCACGCATGTCCACCTCACAGGTACGACTGCTACACACATGCATACACACACACGCACGCACGCACGCGCGCGCACACACACACACACACACACACACACACACACACACACACACACACACACACACACACACACACACACACACACACACACACACACACACACACACTCTTTGACGGAGCTCCTTGTTGTAGAAACAGCAGAGTCTGAGTAAACAGGAAGCAGCTCTGACACAGAACAGGGAAGTGTGTCACAGAACATATGTTGGTGTTCTCTGAGACTCGGGCCGCTGGAGCCCCCTGCTGGTCAGCTGCAGAACAGTCTGCTTCAGGGGCCTCAAACATGTGTCAATGTGGCCCCAACTTTAAAGAGGATTCATCAAGAAAACAACCTCACTGTTAATTTTGTCATAAACATAAACACAAAAAGGAAAAAGTAAAATGATGAATCACTGAGACTCACTGACTTTGTTCAGTGTCTGGGTCTTTTTACAGAAATGTATCAAGACTATTTCATTATCTCATATGCAATAAAATGATTTGGCCAAAATACCTGCTCTACAAGTTTCTCTGCTGTGATTATTAAAGACTGAGAAAATGGGGAGTTTGAGACTTGAACTGGTAAAGAAGTGAGGGTTTGATGGTATCGCGATATTTGGGCCACAGTTCAATGTTATTGTGATTCTGAAAATATCACGATACAGACGGGATGTGATTCTGTGATTTATATTGTGATTCGTGTTATTGAGACTTAAAAGATAGACAAGACGTCATAGTCGCATAGACCTCAGATGGAACCAGAGGAAACTCTGATAAAACAGATCAATGTTTAATGAAATGTCAATACTTTTCTACTGTATCCATTTAATTGCGTGTGTAAAACATTTTTAACCCACCACTGTTTCCAGGTGTTAAGCTGTACAGATCTGATCCAATGTTCATATATTTATCACAAACACAAACCCCAGCTTTACATTCAGCTGCTTCTGAGGTGAAAACTACAAAAGGTTCAGTGAGAACGTGACGAGAACGTGAGCGGCATGAGAAGCACTCGCTCTGATCCTCGTTAGGACTCATGAATTCACAACCTCTGCATCATTAATGAACCTTGTGCATTTATTATCTCCTCCTGCTCCAGTGTTAATGTGTGAGAGAGAGAGGGCTCTCTGGTCTCTCTCTGGTCTCTCTCTGGTCTCTCTCTGGTCTCTCTCTGGTCTCTCTCTGGCCTCTCTCTGGTCTCTCTCTCTGGTCTCTCTCTCTGGTCTCTCTCTGGTCTCTCTCTGGCCTCTCTCTGGTCTCTCTCTGGTCTCTCTCTGGCCTCCCTCTGGCCTCCCTCTGGTCTCTCTCTCTGGTCTTTCTCTGGTCTCTCTCTGGTCTCTCTCTGGCCTCTCTCTGGTCTCTCTCTAGGCTCTCTCTGGTCTCTCTCTGGTCTCTCTCTGGTCTCTCTCTAGGCTCTCTCTGGTCTCTCTCTGGTCTCTCTCTGGCCTCTCTCTGGTCTCTCTCTGGTCTCTCTCTAGGCTCTCTCTGGTCTCTCTCTGGCCTCTCTCTGGTCTCTTTCTGGCCTCTCTCTGGTCTCTCTCTGGTCTCTCTCTGGCCTCTCTCTGGTCTCTCTCTGGTCTCTCTCTGGTCTCTCTCTGGCCTCTCTCTGGCCTCTCTCTGGTCTCTCTCTGGTCTCTCTCTGGCCTCTCTCTGGCCTCTCTCTGGTCTCTCTCTGGTCTCTCTCTGGTCTCTTTCTGGCCTCTCTCTGGGTTAAATAATTGTGTTATAATCATCACTGACCTCCTCTCTCTCCTCAGGCTCTGTCGCGGGTCACGCCCAGCGGCCTCCAGTCTGCGGCCCCTCGGTGAAGCCCTGCCCCCAGCGCGCCACAAGGCCTCGACAAGCTCCGCCCACCACAGCACACCCCCACACACTCCCCCCTTCCCCACCTCCTCCTCCACCACGACTACTGCGAGAGCGTGTGCGTCAGCCTGGACTGTGCCCCCCGCGGCCCGCCACGCCCGCCGCCGCCGCCACGCCCGGGACACGGCGTCCTCTTGTCCCTTTGACTCCTTTTCTCCTTTTTTATTTGAGCGTCGCACTTCTCTCGCTGCGGCCGGAGAACGGTAGAAAAGTAGTTGTTCTCGGACTTTGTATAGAACCAGCAGCGTTTTGAAGACCAGTGCCTAAAACCTGCGTCCAGACCACAACCTTCATCATCGTCATCATCATCATTATTATTATTATTATTATTTCTCCTTTTTAGTTCCATGTTTTTAAGCGGGGCCCGACCCCATCTCCCCCCTTGAGCATTTTACCAGGAATGTGACGTCTGCAGCTGGGAAAGGAAGTGCCCATTTTAAACTGGTGCATAGTGACGTGTGTGTCTGTGTGTGTGTGCGTCTGAGTGTGTCTGTGTGTGTGTGTGTGTGCGTCTGAGTGTGTCTGTGTGTGTGTGTGCGTCTGAGTATGTCTGTGTGTGTGCGTCTGAGTGTGTCTGTGTGTGTGCGTCTGAGTGTGTCTGTGTGTGTGCGTCTGTCTGTGTGTGTGTGTGTGTGCGACGGACAAACGCGGTAATGCATTTTAAAAACGCGCCTGGATTGTGTTTGGGAACGGCCTCCTCCTGGTTCTTACTTTTCCGTTCCAGAATCCAGTGACGGATCAGTCCCTCGGTTGCTACGGGAGACGCCAGATCGCTGTATTTCTCTGATAACGACCTCAGTTTGTCGTTGTCGACTCGAGATTCCAGCATTTCTCGCAACCATGTGGACTTTTACCATAGTTCCGCAGCCACGCCCCCAAACAGCCAATGGCAGTGCGCCGTTCCATGCTAGCACTTACTCTCACCTAGCGCTCGCTCTGGGATCCGTCACAAACTATTATTTCTAGTTCTGTGTCATTCAGAAAAGCAGCGTCTGCGTCTCCAGCGACCGAACGGGGAGAAGTGATGTCACACACCACGGAGAAGTCACTGAATGTATAGAGTTTGTTTTTCGATCTCAAAACCCTGACTGATTGTACGTTCACGAGGCCGGGCTCAAACCAAAACGATTCATTCACAGGTTAAAAAAACAGCTCTTTTCTTCCCCAAAACAACAGTACACATTCTCAGGACTCTTAGTGAAGGGATTAAAGGACACGTCAGATTAGCCCTCGTTAATTAACAGCTGATTAGTGAAAACAAACCCGAACCCTTTTCCAGTGTCTCAATCATATGGGGGAAAAGCAAACACAAAAATCTGATTTAAAAGTGTGATTTCTGGGACTCCCAAACCCATGTTCTGGAAGTGGGGACCTTTTTTTGGGAAACAGTGCCCCCTATGTCCAGAATAGTCATTACATGGAAGTTTGGAATCTATGGTTTAAGTCTGGAAGTGGTTTATTTCACTTCCAAACTCGTCTAAGGACTGTCTAAAGAATGTATAACCAACTGTAGTCTTTGTATGAGCTACTTTCAGAATCGGAACATCCCATTGACTTATGGGAAATCCCAAACCCTGATCCTGAGGGACGGTGTCTGTGAGGGCTGGGTGTAGAATGAGGACTAATAAGTGATTAATAAACATGAATTAAGAGCTGATTAACCCATGAACCAATCAGCTGTGAGTTGGTGAGGGCTGCAGCTCTGACCCGGAGGACGTGGAGAGAATATTAAACGTGTAGATTTAGTGTAGTTGAAGGTAAATGGGGCTGTAAGGGTTTCTTGTTATTGTCTGTTTGTGAAAATAGGGCGTGTCTTTGAGGGGTTTGGCCAAGGTCCGGATTAGATTCAACTCTTAACTTGGTATAATTCACCTTTTTTCGGGCTCGGAAAATATGAACTGGTTTGTCTCACTCTGGCGGTGATTATGAAACAAGTACGTTTTTCTTCTTTTGTTCTTTTCTTTCAGTTTTTCGGGGAGTTTCCTCTCGTCTCGTCTGATTCTTATTGTTCTATTCTTTATTTTTCTTTTCTTTTTGGCTTTGACTGTGAAGCGGTCGAGATGATTGTCAAACACATCTCCCTGTGTGAACTTTTGTTTTTGCATCTCCCACCCACACACACACACACAACAGAGATACACACATACAACAGACACACACACATGCACGCACACACACACACTAACACACCTAAAAGACTTTTTCTCCTCATTTGTAACGCCACTGTATTTGTGTATTTTAAAATTGTGTAAATAAATTAATAAGTACTTGTATCTTATGTGTGGAGCTTTTTTGTGTTCGAGGGAAAGTTCATTTTATTTCATTTTTGTATCGTCCAAAGTCATTCTCGTGGTTTTCTGAGGTCTTTACAAAGCTGTCGATTCACCAACACAGGTCAGAGAATCAAACTGTTAACACTTTGATAAAAACACAAAAAGAGCAGAGAGCAGTGTTTATAAATGTGGTGACTGTGGAGGGTCCTGATCCTCTCGGTCCTGAGAGCCTCCTGCTTTAGAGGAACTGCTCTAAAACCCAGAGGGAGAAAAGTGAGAAACCTCAGGGAGACCCACAGTGAGGTAGGGATCTGCTCCCACAAACAGGCTGTAGACCCAGGACCGAGGCCACACTGCAGGACTGGGGCAGGTCCCAGGTGGGGAGGGCGTACCGGTCGACTATCACATCGCACACATGTGGAACTTGGGGACACAGGGACTGGCCTCCAATAACAATAGTGAAAAAGAGAGACACCCACAGATGGACTGAGGCTGTAGATCCAGGACTGAGGCTTTAGACCCAGGACTAAGGCTGTAGATCCAGGACTGAGGCTGTAGACCCAGGACTGAGGCTGTAGACCCAGGACTGAGGCTGTAGACCCAGGACTAAGGCTGTAGATCCAGGACTGAGGCTGTAGACCCAGGACTGAGGCTGTAGACCCAGGACTAAGGCTGTAGACCCAGGACTAAGGCTGTAGATCCAGGACTGAGGCTGTAGACCCAGGACTGAGGCTGTAGACACTATTATGTACAGCTCTGGACAGAGCAGTCGCATTCTCTTGCTGCTCCTCGCTTGCTGCTTTTTTATGGGCGGCACGGTGGCTGAGTGGATAGCACTCTCGCCTCTCAGCAAGAATGTCCTGGGTTCGAATCCCGGCCGGACCAGGGCCTTTCTGAGTGGAGTTTGCATGTTCTCCCCGTGTCTGCGTAGGTTTCCTCCGGGTACTCCGGTTTCCCCTACCACTAAAAATATGTACAATATAGGTCTGGCATGCGCCTCCTGTTCGGCGACCCCGCTCCCATCTCTGTGTGGAGTGAGAGGACAAGTGCCCAAAAAATAACAATTGTAAACCGCTTTGTGACTCTGGTCTGTGAAAGGCGGTATATAAATAAAGCTTACTTACTTACTTACTTACTTATCTCCTTTAATCATTTTTGCTTACATTTTTATTCCACAAAACACGGATTACTCCTTTTTACAAACTTCAACACAAGAAGGCCGGAAAGAGGCGGAGTTTCCTGCTCCCTCTTTTAGCGGGCTGCCTGGCCGCATAGTTGGTTGGAAATGGCGTTTGCTGTGCGATAGGCTGGGATGCGAGGCCGGCCTGGAAGGGGTGGCCTTTGGCTTGCCCGACTTCCAGAAATGAATTTCCGCGAGGCTGCATTTCAATCTGGAGAGAGACCTTTGAGGAAGACCAAAAGGCCTTTGAAGTTTTTATTGAAAGGTAGTTTTGCGTCCTAGGCCCCGTGCGGCGTTCAGTCAGCGAGGCTCCTGCGAGAGGCGCGCACAATCCCCCAAAAGGCTGTGGCGTTTGATGGGTTAAGGCCATGGGCCTGGTTAGCCAGGGGTACAGACGAACATGCACCCGCTATATATAAAGGCAACACTATTTATAATGCAAACACTATTTATAAGGCAACACTATTTATAAAGCTTGGCTGCTGCCGCCGCCAGGGAGGTTTTGCAAGCTTTACGGAGATGCCAATAACGCTGGCTGCCAGATGGTCCAAAGTTTCCGGGCCCCTGATAGAGGAGAGGCAGATGATGACCAGCGACCCAAACTGCTGAAGGGCAGATGGGGAGTCCCGCCAGGGAGCACGCAATTATAAGGCAACACTATTTATAAAGCAACACTATTTTATAAGGCACCGCTATATATAAAGGCAACACTCATTTTTATAAAGGAAACAATATTTATAAAGGCACCGCTATTTATAAAGAAATAAATTGATAAAGGCACCGCTATTTAAAAGGCAACAACTATTTATAAAGGCACCAGCGGATATACTGTATAGAAGGCAACACATTTAGAAATGCAACGCCTATTTATTAGAAGGCAACCTATATTAATTCCTCTCAACAAACAAACAAAAAACGAAAAAAAAGAAAAAAAACGAGGAGGAGGAAAAGAGCGAGATTATATAGCGGTGTACTTATAAATAGCGTTTGCATTTCAAAATAGTGTTTCCTTTTATACAGTAAATAGGCGGTGCCTTTATAAATTAGTGTTGCCCTGAAAATAAATAGCGGTGGCCTTTATAAATATTATTTCCTTTATAAATAGCGGTGCCTTTATAAATATTGTTTTCCTTTATAAAATGTGTTGCCTTTATATATAGCGGTGCCTTATAAATGTGTTGCCTTAATAAATAGTGTTGCCTTTATAATTGCGCCTCTGCTTCCCTGGACTTTTATTATCCGCCCCATTTCCTTGCCCTCCAGCAGTTGGGTGGGGGGGTCGCTGGTCATCATCTGCCCTCGTCCTCATACATCCAGGCCGGAAAAACTTTTGAACCATTCTGGCCGCCCACGTCCTATTGGCATCTCCGTAAAGCTTGCAAAACCTCCCGGCGGCGGCAGCAGGCCAAAGCATTTTTATAAAAGTGTTGCCTTTATAAAATAGTGTTGCATTTTTAATAAATAGTGTGCCTTTATATAAAGCGGTGCATGT